CCCCGGTGTGCTTTAAAAATAGACATAATGAAGGCTTTCGATAGTGTTGATTGGGATTTTCTGCTCTGTACTCTGACTGCTATGGGTATTCCAAGTAAATTTATGAAATGGGTGAAGGGTTGTTTGGATTCTGCTAGTTTCTTTGTCTGTATTAATGAGGGATTAACTGGTCTGTTTAAAGCTAGGAAGGGGCTGAGGCAGGGGTGCCCTCTCTCCCCCTATCTGATTACTGTTAGCATGGAAGTACTTAGTTGTATGCTAAACAGAACAGTTGCTCGTGACATTTTGCCATACCATCCACAGTGTAAGAGAATCAGCTTAACACATTTGTGTTTTGCTTATGATCTATTGATCTTCACCAAGGGGTCTGTGGGAGGGGTTTCTGTGGTTGCAGAGGTGCTGGAAAAATTCTTCCTTGTTTTAGGGTTAAGATGTAATCCGAGTAAGAGTGAAATCTTTAGTGCTAGGGTTTCTGAGAGTTTGAAAGAGGAGTTGGTTTTGTGCTCTGTTTTTAAGGAAGGTAATTTACCTGTCCGGTATCTTGGGCTACCTCTAAACGTGGGGAAACTCTATGCTGCTGATTGTAAGAACCTGGTTGACAGAATTGCAGGAAGAATCAAGGGGTGGAAGCCAAAGCTGTTGACATATGCAGGAAAGCTTGAGCTTGTCATTTCAGTGCTGGCAAGCATGACATAGTACTGGATGAATGTTATTCTCATGCCGAAGAAGGTGATTAAGCAAATAGAGGGGCTATGCTCACAGTTTCTATGGAGTGATTTTGAAAAGAAGAAAAGAGCCAAAGTCTCATGGAAGACATTAGCCTTACCCAGGGCTGAAGGGGGCATGGGTTTCAAGGACCTTTGCTCCTGGAACAAAGCCTGTCTTACTCAACATATTTGGGGGATACTTTCTGATACAAACACGCTTTGGATAGCTTGGTTAAAAGAGTATCGCCTTAGAAATTTGAGCATTTGGGAAGTGAACACTCGTGGATCTTGGGTGTGGAATAAAATTCTAAAACTGAGAAGTGAGGTAATGGGGAAACTAAGCAGAACCAGCAGAGGAGTAGAGTGGGAGGGTGTGCAGATGGATAAATACAAGGTCAGTAGAGTCAGGGAGAGTTTTAGGCCACAAGGAGATTCTGTGGAGTGGTCAAAGTTGGTTTGGAAAGGAGGAATCCCCCAGAACTCTGTAATCACTTGGCTAATTCTGTTGGGGCCGATATACACTATGGATGTTGTGCAACGCTGGAGTACTGAAGTGGCAGGGTTGTGCTCGTTATGTGGTCAAGTGTTGGAGACTAAATCTTATCTGTTTTTCCAGTGTTCCTATGTGTAGGAAGTTTGGCGCACTGTTTTCCCTCCCCTATGGCGGCTTCCGACTTCCAGGGACTTGCGGGGGGCGGTGGATTTGGCTAATAGGCGTTTTAACATATGTTTGGTGGGCAGGATTCTCTGGTGCCTAGTGCTGAGCGAGATTTGGCATGAACGATGCAGGAGAGTCTTTGGTGAAAAGCAGTTAGAAGTGGCAGGGCTTGTCAAAAAATGCAGGAAGTGATGGAGGCAAAAGAAGCAGGAGACCCTAAGTTTGCAGATTTGGCAATGGTTCGGTTTTTGTGGTACAAAGGGCAGTCTTGAGGAAGTTGTATGTTTGATTGAGCATTCGAGCTGTTGAGTTTCTTTCTCTCTTCTGCTTGTATCTAGTGTGAAGTTAGGTTGCGAGTTTTGAACCTTGTGGGATTGTGTACAGATTGTATTTGATGAAATAAGATTTGACCCATTCATAAAATAAATAAATAAAATACTCATTTTTATTGCTAAAAAGAAAAAATTTAACAATAAACTAATGCATAGATTCTAATGGGTTAACCGCTAATCATAAAATAAAAAAGTTGAATGGGTCTGACCTACACGAGATTTGCCCATCAAGTAAAACAAATGAACATCATGGGTTTGTCATTCTAAAACAAGCTATTTTCTCTAGCATAATATATATTATGCTATTATTTTATATCTTAATGGCTAAAATATAATGTATTTTAAAGTTATTCAATGGTTCAACCTCGACCAACTCAATTAATCCAATTTTTATCATTTCAAATATATATTATGTAATTATTTGATATCATAATGATTAAATTATAGTGTATATTATAGGGAATATTTTGGTATTTGTTAGTAAAAAACTAAACAGAAAGATCTATTTGGTTATTTTTAACATTAAAAGGATCCTAAACATTTTCAGCTTTCTTTCGAAATTCTATATTTTTATTCCCGAATCAGTGATGTGCAAATGGCGAATTGCAGTCATCTCTTTTCTTTCATTATTTTTTATTTTCAAATAGAAAGTTTAAAAGTAAAGAATAATTAGAGTTTGGCATGGGTGGGTCAAACATGCTGAATTTCAAGTTTTGGCCCATTTTGATCAAGTCTAATTTATAATCACATGGTTCCTTGATACCCGATAAAAATCTCAATCCAAACCAGTTTGGCAGGTGAGTCCGTGTTTACCACCATTTTCTAGGGATATAGAAAGCACAATGATGACAAGATGAAAGTTTTATAAAGCAAATTAATTGGCCAACGGGCCGAGTAAAAGCTAGCAACGATTGTGAGATACTCATTTCCCGAAAACTGGCAGGATAGGCGATTTTTTATTCGATTTTCTGGAATTCGGTTTCTATGAAACTTACTCCACCTCATCATATTACCAGAAGCAATATTATTTCACAAGGTAACAGGTACTTGATTTTGGTTCACAAGGTTGATTTTTGATTCGTTGCATCATTCATGTCTCTTTCCTACTAAAATTTATTATTTTTATCACGTGTTTATCAAAAATAAACTATACAACAATAAGCTATACACTCTACATTATCAAATTTCAGACCTCATCTTCCTCCGGCCAAATGGCCGAGGCCCACGCTAGTTCCCTATCTGTAGTACAAGTAGTGAACATTTTTTGTGTAAAACTGCACAGAAGTCATATGGTACAAATTAGTGGTATGGGGATTTCTCCTCAAACTATCTAACTCGCTAAAAAAAATTGTTCTGCATCACTTACACTAAAAATTCTCAAACTATATAAATTCGGAGTGGTCCGTAGCAGTGTCCGGAGATGCTTGTGGTGATTCGCTGCCAACATGATTCGAACAAGATGGTTGCTAACATACGTGATTTACACAATACCAAGTACCAACAGACGCGATCTGGTTTCAAAATTATTGAAAACTTTCAAATGATCGTAATTTGCGACTTTGTTTATCTCGAAAAGTTATGCAAATTTAAAGAGTTGTGTTGATCATATATTTTTTTTATGAAGTGTGTTGATCAGGTAATTGAGTACAAAGTTGTGATTAGTTTTGCCATACATTATTTTCCTTTTAGGAATCCAAGAGAGTGACTTATTAAGTCTCATCAGTCATTACTATATCATTAGCACTTTTAATTCAGAGTTCATTTAAAACAACAAATTGCTCTGTACGACCAGAAATCTTTCATATAATTTGTTGATGTAGAATTTTTCCTAAAAAGAACATATGTACCTTAAATTGTAAAGCCGGAAAGTATTGGTAGTAAATTGCAAATATTTTTTATTAAAGTTTTAAGTTAAAAAATATCAAGGCCACGTCGCAGTCGCACGACATTGTGAGCTGGGCGTGGCTTGTGAATCTGAATCTGAATCTCATCCAGTTTTGCGATTTGGTGGAGAGAGGGGTGCCGGGGCCCACCATGGAATAGAAACATTGACTTGGTCAAACAACAGTTTTGAAATACTAAAAACCGCCCATATTGCTTATTTAATTTAAAATGCCCGAAATTTTATTGAAACGGAAATAAAAATATATGAAACTAAAATGAAAGAAAATTGAAAAATAGACTATCTCCGGTTTTGGTTTGTGACGAGATGGCCGATGGGTAATAAATTTGTTTTTGAAAATGAAAGAACCGGGAAAAGGGAAACTTGGCTTGCTTAGCTGGAGGAGATGATGGGGCCGGGCCGGCCTGTGGGGGTTGAACAAATCGAACGGTCCAAAGTGGCCCAAAAGGATAAAGAAAAAGCCCAGGCAAAGGGAAGTGGGACCCACACAGTTCGGCGGGTAAACAAAAGCGCGTGAGAGAAGCAGTTCCGTTTGCTTAGTAAATAAGAAAATATCTACTTTTATCAGCGTCGAAATTGCGTCTCACAAAACCGCAAATGCAAAGTGCTCCTTTCCTTCGTCCAGTTGTTCACAACACATCAGTCTCAGCCCTCTTGTACTCCAACTGTTGGGATCCAAAGTAAACAAACTAAATAAAGTTAAATTGAGCAGAGGGAATTTAGGGTTTTCGATTATACTTCTCTTTTACGCAATGGTGGGGGATGCTTCAAGCTGAAGCAAACCTTAATTTCCAATCCATTTCATCACTCGTCCAGTCGTCCCATGCCCACCCTTTTTCTAATTTTCCTCCCCACCCGGCCCCCTTCTTCGATAGCAAAAAAACGAACAATGATTTCGTTAAATCTTAACCTCGTTCGGTGTTCGATGTCATCATTGTTGAAGGTCGAAATCTCAGGTTTCAATTCCTAATCGAAGCAGTAACGACACAGAGCCAAAGTACTGTGTTTATGAACTTACTTGCGAAAGTAATTGAGACAATAGTTGTATTGGGAAGTTCCCTAATCTTTGGGGTGCAGAGATCGAAGACAAACTCCGATGTAAACACAACTGTAACGACACAGAGTCCTAGGTTAAGCGTGGCACTGTGTTCCTAATCTTCGCCATGCAGCAGTAGTAAACCATTCTCTTAATTAAACTATTATTGGTCAAAGAGCCTCCTGCATTAAAAGCTACAACCCCAGCACATAGATCCACTGCTTCCTTCTTCTTTTATACACCTTCGCCTGGGAAAAAGCCAAGAGCAAAGAGAGCCAAAGAGCAGTGAAAAAGCAGCAGCATAACCCAAACACGCCAAAACTCATTATATCAAACCCAAGGAAATTCCCCTTCTTTCTCTTTTTCCTTTTTCACCCGTCTATTACAATGTCACAGTAAAAAGTAAACAGAAAATTGCAGAAACTGCAACCCATGGTTTTTACAGTTTGCAGCCTTGAACCTAGTGAGAACAGAAACAGAGCCTACTGGTTCTTTCTTTTCCCCTTGGATAAGAAAGAACCTTCCCTAGTTCTTTGAGCACACCCAAACCAATATTAATTAATTAAATAATACCCTCACCACTATTTATTACTAATCATAATACCCCACTTTATTACAAACAGAATTACCCATCTTTCTTCTTCATCTTCACTATCCTGCCTGCCTGGTTCAAAATCAAACCCCAAAATAAAGGATAAGAGGAACTTGATTTTTGCTTATTCAGCCCCTCTCTTTTCAAACTAAAACCCACCCAACAAAATGCCCTTCTTATTACTAAGCAATAACTTATTACTGTTACCTTAAACGGCAAAAAAAAACCACCTTTTAACCTTTTTCCCTACTACTAATACTACCCTTCTTCTTCGTCTTCTTGTTGCTATACTCTGCTTCCTTCTCCCCAAAACAAAAGAACATCCACTTTGAAATGAATCAATAGGTCCACTCCTGAGGCAGCCTCCCAATTTCATGGCTGAAGAACCCACTTTCTGGCTGCATTGCTCTCTTCTGCTGCTGCTGCAAAATCGAGTTCCTTCTTGCCAGCAGAGTCGCTGTAAATTTAAAACAGGGCAGAGACAAACAATAAGTTATCGAGAGAGGTAACAGTCAAAATTTAAATAGATTGAGGGATAATATTGCTTTTTACCATAATCAGCGGCGAAGGATGCGTTAAACCCTGGAGACTGACCCTGGCCGTTACAAGTCGCCGTCTCGTCAAAACTCAAGTTGAGTGCATGGACGACCTTCGCCGGCACGATAACCCCTATGATAGAGACAAACGCACTAAACGTCAACGTTTGAATTTCAAAATATCCCCACCAGGAAACCCTAATAGAGAAAGGAAATGTGGGTACCAGGAGAAGGTTGCTTCTTCGAATCGGGCACAGGGTTTCCGTATCTACGCGGAAGGAAAACCCCTGTTCCAGCGCACTCCTTTTTCGCACCGGCACCGCCATTAGTAGAACCATATCCAACTCCCACAAACCCTGCCGCCGCCCTCGTCCCCGAATTTAAACTCCCCGCCGTCTGATTATGTGGGTACTGGGGGCGATTCGTTTGAAGTGGAGGCCAGCAAGCCTGCGCCTGAGCCTGAGACAGAGGAGGAGGCCGGACAACAAATCTACTGTTGTCATACACACCACCGCCGCACGAGATCTGCGACTGCGGCGGCGACGGGGGAGGAGGAAGCTTCGGCCAGGCAGCGGCCTTCACTTGCTGTTGTTGTTGTTGTTGTCTCTCCCAGACTGAAGGCCACTGTCCCTTCGGAGTCCCCTGTTCTAGCCTCAACTGCTGAATCTGCAAAACAGAGAAATTACTGAGCACCGAAACTCATAAACAGTAAAATTACCCCCCCCCCCCCAAATTGGCGACAGAGAGGAGCTTTACAACTTACCTGAGGGGTATTATGGCCGAGGGAGTAAACCGACCCAGATGGAATCCCCTGAGACATCTTCAGCCTCGCCACTTGCCCTGCAGCGGCGTAAATCAGATCCCACGCGTCGTTCTTAGCACCAATTGGAGCCGGAGTAGTTGTAGGAGATAAGGCGCCGTTGGGGCTGCCGTTGCTGGAAACCGACATGCTCCCCAACCCGTTGAGCGTGGACTCGGGCGACCCGACCACAACCCGGTTCTCCTGTGAAGGAAGAAGAAGGGAAAAAAAAACAGAGTGAGTTTCTCGGTGAGGAGAAAAGTGAAGTGGAAAAAACAGAGTGAAGAGGGGGAGAAATATACCGGTGACTTGAAGGTGAGTTGCTGGGTGAGGCGGCGAGTCAAACCGGCGAAGAAGTCGTCCTCGTCGTCGCAGGTGTCAGAGTCAGGGGACGAGTCGAAGTCGTAGGGGAACTCGGAGGGGAAGGTGAACTCGGGCTTGTGTGGAAGCCAGGAATCCGGGTCTCCGACGGACATGGTAGCCATAGGAGAAGTGGGGGAAGAACAGATTGGGGAGGGAAAGAGGGAGTCTGTGGTGGGAAGCGAGAGGGAGCAGAGGCAGAGGAAGGAGAAGGGAGGGTTTAATAATAAATGGGGGAAACAGTCAAGCTTCTGCTGGATTTGCAGGCACCGGTGAAACAGAGGGCCCAATAGAAAGAGGAAAGGTAGTGAGAGAAAGAGAGAGAGAGAGAGAGAGAGAGAGAGAGAGAGAGAGTGGGTTAGTGGTGGAGTGGAGTAGAGAATGTGGAAGACATGTCGCTCGCTTTTTATTAAGGTTTCTGAGTTTCTTTTTAGGGTTTGTTCAAATTTTAAAAAAGACCAAAGAGAAAAGGAAGGGAAAAAAAAACCTTGTATTAAACCGAAAACAACAACTTTTTACATTTTTTCCTCTCTTGGTTGCTTGCTATAGAGATCGGGTGAGAGTGAATAGTGAATGTCTTACGTCTATTATGGGAACTAGCGTGGACCCGGCCATTTGGCCGGAGAAAGGCGAGGTATGAAATTTGATAATATATTGGGGTGTATAGCTTATTGTTGTATAGTTTTTTTTGGGAAGCACGTGATAAAAATAGTGAATTTTAGCAGGAAAGAGACATGAATGATACAACGAATCAAAAATCAGCCTTATGAACCAAAATCAAGTGCATGTTACCTTGTGAAACAATATTGTTTCTGGTAATATGATGAGGTGGAGTAAGTTTTATAGAAACCGAATTCCAGAAAATCGAATAAAAAATCACCTATCCCGTCGGTTTTCGGGAAATGAGCATTTCACAATCGTTGCTAGCTTTTACTCGGCCTTTTGGCCGATTAATTTGCTTTATAAAACTTTCATCTTGTCGGCATTGTGTTTTCTGGTTTTTGTCAGGCCATGATAAAATCTAAAGAAATCAAGAACGAACAACACGATTTGGGATAGGAACCGCCTTTGTCATATCCCTAGAAAATGGTGGTAAACACGGACTCACCTGCCAAACTGGTTTCGATTGAGATTTTTATCGGGTATTAGGGAACCATGTGATTATAAATTAGACTTGATCAAAACGGGTCAAAACTTGAAATTCAGCCTGTTTGACCGATCCATGCCAAATTCTAATTATTCTTTACTTTTAAACTTTCTATTTGAAATAAAAAATAGTTAAAGAAAAGAAATGACTGCAATTCGCCATTTGCACATCACTTATTCGGGAATAAAACCATAGAAATTCAAAAGGAACTGAAAATATTTACGATCGTTTTAATGTTTAAAATAACCAAATAGATCTTTCTATTTAGTTTTTTACTAACAAATACCAAACGATTCCCTATAAAATACACTATAATTTGATCATTATGATATCAAATAATTATATAATATATATTTGAAATGATAATAATTGGACTAATTGGGTTGGTCGAGATGAACCATTGAATAAATTTAAATTACATTATATTTTAGCCACTAAGATATAAAATAATAGCATAATATATATTATGCCAGAGAAAATAGTTTGTTTTAGAATGACAAACCAATGATGTTCATTTGTTTTACTTGATGACCAAATCCCGTGTAGGTCAAGCCCATTCAACTCTTTTATTTTATGGTTAGCGAGTTATCCCATTAGATACCATGCATTAGTTAATTGTTAATTTTTTTTATTTTTAGCAATAAAAAGGAGTATTGTTTTTTTCATTTTCATATATATTTTATCACCACGGAGAAATAAAAGGTGTTAAAGAAAAGAATTCACACTCTTAGAACCGTTTAAATCCGCATGTGTATGGTAAGTTGGCCCGTTCCACAGAGGAAAGTAAAAAAATTGACACTCCCTATTCTACCCTTACTACAAACGCTCCTGGAGCAGGAAATTTGAAATGGGGGAAGGGTTTTTTCCTCCCTGCTATTATATCTTTTTAATTTAAAAAGATACAACAAATGTACTTAGTGTGATTGGTTGTGATCTTTGCTTTTCTTTAAAATTGGCATGGTTCGAATCCCAGTACGTGTCTTTTTAATGAATAAAAAAAAAGTAATTGTGAAGACCAAAATATCCTTCCTACTTTCACTCTCGTTGCAGGAAATTTGAAATGGGGCTCCTGTTTTTCCCTTCGGCGTATTATATTATGTGTAGATGCATTAGCACAGATAATATATTTTTTAATAAAATACATATGTATATGTGAAATTTCACGATTGGAGTTTTATAGTCAAATAACATGCTTGTTCGTCAAATTCAAAGTTTAGTTTGAGTTTTACATATATTCTTCAAGTTCGAGTTTTACCATACTTGATTAACTCGAATATGAGGAAGTATCCATTGGATATGACTATTTTTGTCATTCCTTGATGGCTGCCTCAAGGAATGGAAGTATCCATTGGATATGATTATCAAAATTCTTCAAGTTCGAGTTTTACCATACTTGATTAACTCGAATATGAGGAAGTATCCATTGGATATGATTATCAAAATTCTTCAAGTTCGAGTTTTACCATACTTGATTAACTCGAATATGAGGAAGTATCCATTGGATATGATTATTTTTGTCATTCCTTGATGGCTGCCTCAATATGGGGAGGGGATGAGTAGGGCGATTGTGTGTTGTCCCATATTAAATTTGAAAATTTTGATGGTACTGATCAATATTTCATTCATTGGATTTATCGCATATTCATTTTGGTGGATAGTGCATGTTATGAATAGCGGTCGTCATCATAGGCAGAGCTAGTCTATATTGCCCTTGTCCGGGGATAGGGGTAATATTTGGTTTGTAAAAAATACCCCACAAACCCACGTACTTAATACTTACAAGTAATGTAAGGATATTGCTACTACATCAGAGCTCATTACTTGTTTCATAATTGATAAAAAATAATTAATTTATTTGTCTTATTCATAATAATTATTCAACAATAGCTTGTTAAGTATTATCATGAAGTTATGAGATTTCATTAATTGAAAGAAATTGATGAATTATCTCGAATAATGATGGAGACAAAAGTACGTAAGTCATATCCGTCAGTTTATTTGCTTCTGAAACTAGTTTTGATTCTACCCGTCGCAACTGTAAGTGTAGAAAAAACATTTTTAGCTTGAACTATACTAATATCAAGTTTCGAAGTCGAATTGACGATCAGTTTGCTAATGATTGTTTAATAGGATACATTGAAATATGCTTACTTAAGAGTATAGACAACGAATGTATTTTGCATTGCTTTGAGAGTATGAAAATTCGTCATAGTTGTTTATGCAAACATCAATTGTATTAGTCGCCTATTTGTTTATTTATATTAATTATATTTTTATATTTTGAAAAAAGGACATGGGTAGTTTCAAATCCTGCCTCCGCCACTGGCAGTGATGACAAATTTAAGCACTACAATACGTAAATCAAATTTTAAGCGACACAGATAAGGATAACTTGGACATAATGCTCCAGATTCTACTGCAAAGATATACTTTGTTGCCATTGTTTAATGTTTATGGTATTTGCAATTTTGCATGTTAATTTTCCTGGAGAAGCTGGGTGAGTTTAAATTAAAATAATAGGACAGCATTTATGCTCTAAAATGGTAACAAGATGTGACGTTTTTTGGTTTGAAAGATTTTGAATCGCGTTCAACAAAATTAATATAAAACAAACCATTTGAATTTGTACGTGGTACTCGTTGAGAGAATTGGGAGGGAAAGGAATGCGATTGCGGTTTTTTTGTGTTTAAATTTGTCTTGCTATGTAACCCCACCCGTCATTTGTGTTGTTGCTAATTAATCCATTTCATTACCAGTCGTTAAATTCTTAGTTAATCAATCATTTACGTTAATTAGTAATTAGTTGGTTGTTTAAGCAATTTGTGAGTGGGTGAGGGGACGGCCGGGTATCTAGTTAAACACAACCCGGTCCCATGTTTTGTGTGTCTGTCTGTCTCCTGTTATGTTCTTCCTGATTCCTCTTTTGCCCTACTTTTGGTGGGTTTTCTAAGTATCTTTAGCTGCATCTGTAGATTTTTAAATAAATCGGTTTAGGCTTTAGAGTGGGGTAATGCGGTATGATTAGATTCTACCTCTCTACGCTTTTGGCCTTTGGGTGTTTTGCGAAATGGGCCGGGTAGTCCAACTGCGGACTCGATCTTTCAGCCCCTAAAATTACTAGGGTTAAGTGGGTTACATTTTGAGGGGTATATATATTCTACAGCTAACTTTTGATAAAATCTCGACTATTAGGCAACGACGGATCCTGGATAGAGTAGAGCATTGAGTCAAATTTGAAAAGAGGTGGAGAGAACTAGGTTGTAACCCATCGAACACTGAAATGAATACCTAAAATCAAAAATCTACAAGGCTATACTAGCTCTGGATACAGGGAGGGTTGGGTCGTGGCTTGGGGGCGCCCCCTAGATCCGTCGGTGCTAGTAGGGGGAAAAATTGCTCGAGTGAAAGGATCCAAGAGAGAAGGAGAGAAGACATGCCATCGTTATTTCTTTCCGAGACCTGGTATTTATATGCAAATGTAAGGGCAGTTAGGCTTTTACCAAGAAGTCATGATCAAATACGTTGGTTTGATTTCACCAAAAAAAATGTTAATTTGACCATGCGAGTTCTTGGATATTCATGCGAACGAATGATCCATATGAATAGGGCTCATTAATCCTTCACTTGTTAGGTTCATTACTTATTCTTATATGTTAGATGATATTTTCTAATCAAGCGAGCTCGCTTACAAAGAGAATTGCTCCCAACCCGTCCCATTTGCTCATCATTACTTTGTATCGTAGAAGGTTTGTGGGTTTGAACTGATTAAGAACAACGAATTCATCCAACGTGTCATAAATCGCCCCAAATCGTTGTGATGCCGAATGGACTCCCCAACACTTGCAAGTGTTGTATGTTTTCATTGAAAAGTGAAAACAAATGAAAAACCACCCCTAAATTTTGCTACCGATAGGAGGTAATCCCATCACATTTTACCATCATTCGTCATTGACTTCTCCCAAGACAAACTCATCATTTGCGTGACCAATTGTATACCGAAGCGGCGAAGCCAGAAATCATGGCTAATACGTCGCCATGATCGGCAGCACTCACCACCACTCTCCAAACGGCAACATGCCCATATTATTAGTTCCATTGGCATGCGAAAACTAATGCTATATGAATATGTTCGTTTCATTGACTTGATGGTGGTCGATGCGCTTCACCAGTTCCACATAATTGCGAATATAATGATGCACCAAACAAAATTCATGCAAATGCCATTGCCGCCATTACTCACTCGTCTCCATC